TATGATAATTACACTATTATAATACGATAGAACTAAAATTATCAAAATAAACAAATAATTTAACTAAAATTAATATATATAAGTATTCAAATAACAATTTTATAGAACGATAGAGCTAATATTATCAAAATAAATAATTAAAATCATACTTTAATTTTAAATTTAAATTTAAATTATTCTCTTATAATACACATTGTATCATCAAATATTTTTTAAAAAAACAAATAACACGTGTATTGCATGGGTCAATTGCTAGTTACTCTATATATTTGTGTAAGAGTTTGAAGACACCAAGAATTCACTTGCTAGTTAAAGTTCTTAGGATTTCAAATCCTAGAAAGATAAAGATAAAATTTAACATAAATAGCCATAACTAATCTTATAGCCCTAAAACCCTAGAACTCTCTATCACTTTATTGTTTCTCTCTCTATCATCTCTCTCTTTCTCTCTCTCTCTCTCTCTCACTCCCTCCAACATTGTCTCTACTATGTTTACTAGTGCAACCTCAATGACAACTACCACCACCTTAACCGCATTTGCCGCTATTGCTTCTGTTATTTACACTCAAAATTGTTGTTATCACTATCGATCTTTCAGTATCCTCTATCGTTCAGCGTTGGATGTGCTTTATTTACTTGAAACAATCATTATCATCACTGATCTGGCAAACACCATTCTATCTCTTTGTTTGATGCATCTCACTAGTTCAGATCTAGACATCACTCACCTTCAATGGAATTTATCTCGTTCTCTATTTTATTTTATTTATCTGTTTGTTGATTTGTATGTTATTAGTTGTCAGAAATTGATTGTTGCTATTTGTTTGGTACTTTTTTTAGTCTACTCTCTTTTTACCGTTTGTCGTACTCAATGAAATTTATCTGAGTAAAATTAATGAAACTGTTATAGTTAGTAAGATTTTTCTGAATTAAACTAAAAGTCAGTGAAATTTCTCTAACCAAAGTCTTGTAAAATTTCACTAACGATTTTATTTTGGAGCTATAAATTTAAACTTTTTAGTCTTAAATTTGGAATCAAGGACCAAATTTTGCATTTGCTCTTAAATAAAATTTTCATAAATGTTGGAAAGTAAAATTTCAATTTGTTTTATTTCAAAAAAATAAATAACATAAAATTAGTCATTTTTTTAAGTCCCCAATTTGAATTTATTAGTCCTAATTTTGAATTAGAAACCTAATTTTTTTTAATTGGTCCTTAAATTTACAATTTTAGTGTGAAAATATGGAATTTCTCTCATCAAAATTTCACTATGATGTAACAACGAACATAGTAAATTATGAATATAATTATGAGGGCATTTTGATCCAAAATTTCTTTCATGTTTTGTTAGAGGACCTGCACTAATACTATAAAATTGTTTGTCCTTAGCTACTAAAAAATGTTATCTAAGGAACTGAATAAAAAAAACTCAATTAAAAATAGAGAAAATTGGTAATAAATCCATATTCCCACCCTATAAGTCATTAAGGACAAGGGTGGTTACCTAAAAAATTTGCAAATAACTCTGACGATTGAGGATGGAGGATGGAATCCGGTGATAAGAAGAAGACGAGTTGCAAACCAATACAGTAGATCAATGGATTATGGAGTGTATACTCTCTTTGTGGATGACATCCCAAGCTCAATGACTCCGAAGGGTTTGTACACGTTGTTTAATAAGTTTGGTGTTGTAAAGGACGCTTTTATCCCGTCCAAAAGACGGAAATCGACGGGGTCGAGGTTTGGTTTTGTGAGGTATGACTGCAAGGTGGCTGCCGAAATGGCGGTGCTGAAGGGTGATGGCTTATGGTGCGATAATAAGGCCCTGAAAGTAAAGAAAGCAGAGTTCAAAAAAGGGGAGTTCAAGCAGCATACAATGACCAACAGAGGAGATGTTCCGATGACGCAACGTCCACAGAGGAGTTTTGGGCATAGAAGGATGGATGTTTCAGGTCGAAGATCGTTTGCAGAAGTTGTTCAGAGTGGTGGCAGAAATGAGAAGATGAAAGAGGTTGTACAGGCATTCAAAGTCGGAAATGGATGGCTTTATGACAGTGTAATTGTAAAGTTGAAATCATTCTTTTCCTTTGATGAGTTTAAAAATGAGGTTGGTAAAAGAGGTATGGAGGAAGTAAGAGTCAGAGAAGGAGGAGGAAGGGTAGCACTGCTAACTTTCAAGTCCCAGCAACATAAAAAGGAGGCTACAACCAAGCTACAAGAGTGGATGCTAGAATGGTGTGATTCTATTACAGATTGGGACAAAGGCAAGTATGTTGAACAGGAAAGGTGTGTGTGGCTAACATGTACAGGTGTACCACCAAATTTGTGGAGTGTTAGTACATTTAAAGACATTGGCAAGCTGTGGGGTGAAGTTGTTCAATTTGATGATGCTATTACTACTCAAAATTCTTTTAAGTGGGGAAAGGTGCGTGTGATTACTTCCAGAATGGAGTTCATCAATACGGTGGTCCAAGTTGAATGTAATGGAAGCCTATTCCCAGTTAGAGTGTTTGAGGAGATCCCAACAGCAGGTGAGCTGTGTCATTGCAGTAGTTCTTACATGGAAAATGAGGTCACTGGTCTATGGCTCAAGATGAAGTGGATCAACTGTCGAGAAATGGTGAGGCAGACAAGGAAGAACATGAAGATGAACACATAAGGAAGGAGGAACAGGTTATGGTGGACTGCGATGCAGGGGAAAAACTTGAAGGTAATGAGTGCCTATCTGTCTCAGCCGTAAAGGAAACAGAGAATGGCATGGGAAATCAAAAGGTCAGAGGAGGTAGTCTGGAGGGTAGGTTGGCGAGCACGGCAACTCCAAGAAATGAAATTCAAATTGTGGAAGGCCATGTTTGTACCCCTGGGTTTATCAGAAGCCTAAGTGGGCCAGAGAGTTTAAGGCCTAAACTAAATATAGAGGTGGTGCTGGATGGGCTGCAGGATGGGGTCCAGAAGAATAGGCCCACCATGGATTATTCAAATCTTAGTGATAGTGCAGCCCAAACTCAGCTTAGATCCAGTGATCAACAAGGAGATAAGCTAAAAGCATCAGTCATAGCTAACCCACCAAGGAAAGGTAAGCCCACCCAAGCAATGGTAGATAGATGTAATCTGGTGGGTGCAAATCTGCGTAATAGGTCAAAACCGAATAAAAAACAGATCAAGCACAAAGAAGCGATGTGCAGCAAATGTTTCAAGAAAGGAGCTATCTTCAGAGCAGCTGCAGCTGCTATATCAATGTCAGTAGAGCAAAGTCTCAACACCAGGAGGAGAAACAAATTATTAAGTGAAGCCCAAGCTACCATGGAAGTTGGGAAAATTCTGGGATTGGATTTTGAAGGTAAGGAGACTGAGGTGATGGGCAAGTTGGCTGAACTCGAAGCGAAGGATAAGGAGAGAGTGAAAGGGAAAGCTGTAGTGCCGTAAGTCTGGTAAGGACTTAAGGTAGGAGTTTTACAGGAGATGTGTAGTTTTCTATATGATTTTATTATCATGGAACATTAGGGGCCTACGAAGACCCGAGAAGAGAACAAAAGTAAAGAGCTTAGTTCGGGAGAGGAAGGTAGATGTCCTTCTGTTACAGGAGACTAAGAGAAGCTCAGTAGATGATAATTTTGTAAAGTCCTTATGGCCGTGGGAGGAGATGGAGTACATGGAGGTGGGTGCAGAAGGAAGTGCTGGTGGCTTACTATCCTTGTGGAATCCACAGACTTTTCAGCTTAAGGAGTGCTGTAGCTCCAGGAATTTCATGATTTTATCAGGTATGGTTCATCATACTTTTAATTGCACTATCATTAATGTTTATGCACCCAATACCCTCTTTAAGTGCTGGAGCCTCTTCATGGAGAAACCGGGCCAAATTAAGAGTTGTAAGATAGAACAGCATCTTCTGCTGCCATCTCTTAAACTCGGTACCATTAAATTTTTCCGGTTTTTCTCCATGATTGATTGGTACATGAACATGGTTCTGGATAGGGACCGATGTAGGTGTAACAATAGGAGTACCACTGCCAGATGCAGTTTCAGTTGTAGTAGCCATAATCTCTGATTACAAAAATCAAAA